CCCTTGAATGTCGTCAGGTGCGATGCTGGGATCGTATCCGTCATCCTCAAACTCGGCGTATTCATCGTCATAACCTGACATTTCTTCATCGTCACCTGCGTCACTTCCAACAGCGACTTCATGTTGATTGCATCTTGACTTTGTTTTCTTACGTTTCTTCAATGATCTTTTGGGAGACTTAATATCGGATCCTCCAACGGAGTCGGAAAGATCCTCCAGCTCATCTCCACTTTCTCCATCAATGACCAAAAGACCTTCTCCTTCTGACGTTGAGCATCCGTCATCAAGAACTGCCATAATCTTTTCCACACATGATGATCTCAACTTTCTCTTCTCTTGATCGACGCTCACATAGGGGATGTAGTCTTTGACGGTCATCTCGATGATGTTGCCATTGGGATCCAACATGAATGGGGTTCTTCCAGTCGGCCAAACAAATTAGTAACCAAGATCAACGCATCGCTTTCCCATGGAGAGCACAGAGGGCGTGTCTTCCAGGATGTGGGCTTCTGCTGGTTCATTGAATGCCTCGAACTTGATGCTTGAACGTTTGGTCGAACATGTCACCCCATTTGCTGTGTGGAAGTTGACGACCTTGCCATCATATGTTGGGAGATCCATTCTGTTAATTCGTGTGGATGATATGAGATCATGACCACTTCCGGAATCCAATATGAATCTCTTATCTCTCTCCTCAACAGGAACAGTGATACACATTGTGTTGCCCCTTTTACCATATCGGCCTTTAATATGCTGGACATAGTTCTCTACAAAAACTTCCCTGGACACCTCATCGTCCTCAATGTCGAGTCTGATCAGAATGTCCATACTGGGGCCGACGATGACCAGGACTTCATCAATGTCACTGTACTCACCCTTCTCATCGATCAGGATAGCCATTGCTTTCCCTCGGCTCGAAGCTAACCTGCATGAATAAGACCATTGTTCATCTTTCCTTATCTGATCAGTGGGCTTACCAACTTTACCATGACCTTTGGGAGTAGTTTGAGATTTCCGGTTGCACTTCACGAAGTCCTTCTTCACGTAAGTCTGAACGGTATTATTAGACTCATTGAATCTGACCTTCTTCTTGATCACGTTCGATGCAACCTTGTGGAACGTCCCTTCATCATCACTCCAATCATGGATAAGTGCAGGTGTAGCCTTTGAGCTCGATGCCTCAGTGTTTGGAGCAGTGTTGAATAGATGAGGATCGTGGCGTTTGTTGCATTTGTCTCCATACCGACACTTGCCCTTGGCCCAATGCCAGCATGGCTCATCAATCTTCTTGGTCTTGTTTGCAGGAGATTGACTTCTTGGAGTTCCTGGCTTTCGACCGTTGCCTTTAGCATTCTTGTTTGCATCGAACACCTTTTGGTCGTGACTGTATTCGCAATCTTTGCCCTTTCTGCATGCTTTCTTGATGAAATGGAAATGGCACGGGATTTTCTTCTTGGATCTCGGACTGGCACTTCGGCTGTTTGCTCGATCCTTTCCTTTCCCTTGACCTTTTCCCTTCCCTTTTGCATGCTGCTTAGGCTGAGGAGATGGTAGAACCGGAGCCGCATCGGCCTTGGCCTTCGCCTTGGGTGCTGCCTTCTCCTTGGGAGTAGCCTTAGGCTTTGCTTTTGGGTTCGCATCCGGTGCAGCAGCAGTCGGATTTGGCGCAGGAGCTGAAGGTTTGCCGCCACCTGCAAAATCTCTTGCATACTTTTCTCTAGCGGCTACATGCTTGTCCTCTCTAATTCTGGAGATATGTCTTTCGATGACGTCCAAGAGATAGCGATAGCTTCGTCTTTGGTCTCCCTCCATCCATGACTCGTACTGCTTGATGTCGAACATCATAAGGCTCGAATTTCGAATCTTCTTGTATAAAGCATCACGAAGCCAATCATCAGGAGGTACATCATCCGGCATCATGTTAGATACCATCTCCATCCATTTCTCGTAGAACACTTCCAGGTTTGAGTCACCGAGATACTTCAACGATACGATGTGCTCCATAGTGAAGGCTGTCTCTCGTTGACCTGGAGTTCTGAAGTGCTCCAAGATCATAGCCAAGATTTCCCGTCCCATGACATAGGTTCCTCTTCGACTATGACTTTGTGTCCTCAATCTCAGTTTGATCGCTACGTGACGAGCAACATCACCGGCTTGGGCTATCACGTTTGACAATGCGATTGACAACTTGGCGTCGATTGACTGGTATCGTTGCCCTCCACTGTCATTCAATAGCTCGATATCGGGATTTGGTCGAATAGCCGGTTGTAACCATGCTTCCCATGCGGCTTTGTCCCCATCATTGGCAGCAAGAACAACACTCTTAATGAGATCTGATTGCCAGACCCCAAGATTCTGCTGTTTCGGCCATGGGCTAACATAGACCTTGTCAGCCTCCCGTCGTGACATTCTTGGCGCTTCTTCTGCCGTGTAAGCTGCAGTGGAGACATCATCTGCTGAATCACGTTGTGATCCTCGAACTGAAGGCAATCCCGGAGGTTCAGGAGGTGGTCCTGGACCGTTGGGCCCGAAAGGGTCAGGAGGTCCATCAGGGTCAGGCGGACCGCCCCATCCACTCGGTGGTTTGTAGTAGTCCCTCTCAGTTCCGTCAGCGATCCTATTGTCGACTTCTCTCAACAAATCAGTGATTCTTTTGTTTGATTGAGAAGGTTGTCGTTGAGGATGTACAGCATGTTCGCGATAGGATTTGGCTACATTTGTTTCATGGTTCAACTCCTTGTCAATCTGCGAGACCCAAGACTTCAGAATAGCGTTTTCACAGTTAGCCTCACTCACGTCATTCTCCAATTTGTCGATGACTAGTCTTGATGCGAGATCGTAGTTGGGAATGCCTGCAGAATAGGAAAGCGTGTCAGGGTTGACCCTTGACATGGATATTTCAGAATCCTTGAGACTCTTCCTCATTTCATCTACTTGACGTTTCATGTCCATAATCTCAGAATTCTTAATACCGATCTTTTCATCCCTATCCTGGATTTCCCCCATGAATATGCATGATCTCTCATATTGTTGAACACCACTAGCCAATACCATTTTGCGCTCATTCTCTAGTTCAGATTTCAGAGTTCGGACCTCGGTATTGGTGAGGGACGGCGCCCCTACATCCGCAACTTCAGTCAATCTCTCCTTTAACAATAGGTTCTCTTGTAAACATTCATGAATTTCATGGTCTAGGTCCTGAACCCTGATTTGAGCGATCTTAGCCTGATTACGCAGATCTTCGACAAGCATCTCATCGGGGCCACGACCGTCGGTCGTAGAACCCTGAGTCAGCGATCTCCGTAACTTCGCGTTCTGCAACTTGATCTCATCCTTCAGTTCGCAGTTCATCTTCTGCTCGTTCGCATAGAGCTCCTCATAATGCTCTGCCTTTGCGATCGAGTTTGTGCTAGCCTGTGATTCAAGCCTCAGGTGCGATATTGCTTCGGCCTCTTGGTTCCTGTATGATGCAATTCTTCTGACGGTATCATGTTCGGTATTCCGATGCTTCAGGTCACTTTCCAACTTGGCCTGATTTGCCTCGAACACCTTCTTTCTAGATTCTCTAGTGATCTCATCAATACTGCTCTCATACAGCTCGGCCTGTTTACGAGACTGAATCAAGGCTTCACTCAATAGTTGATTTCGCTCAGACAATTCATGAACTGCAATTGATTGTTGTTGGCTAATCACTTCAAGTTGATTGCTAGAGAAGGATGCCATCTCGGATCGATTACGATATTCCATGATTGAATTCTGGAAGTCTGTTTGCATTTCCTGACCTTCATTGTATAGTCGATTGGCAATATCGGTGGTTAAGACATTGGTCTGATGAAGTTGTTGAAGTCTTGCCTCCGTATTACCCAGTAGTCCTTGAAGGTGATGTACTTCATCCTTGTACTCTTCCTGGATCTCCATGCCACGTTGATGGATCCGTCGTGCACCATGTTCCATTAGGGCACCTCGGCGTTCAAGGTCTTGGATGCGCATTGTTGCACCTTCATCTTCCTGAGATGCTACCATTAGTTCTGCTTGATATTCTGCAACCTCATTTGCGGAACATAATAATCTGTTATTGAGTGCGTTGACCTCATCAAGTACATTCTGGTTGTGTTCCCGAAGATATTCAGTGAATCTGATCTCGATGTCATGAATCAGTTGATCTCTAGATGCAGCGTATGCTTCCATGTTGTTCAGCTGATTACGTAGGGATTGACATTGTGCCCGTAGTTCCTCTATCATGGCAATAGGTTCACTAGCCACAGAAGTATCTGTTGATCTCCTCTTAACACGGCTATCCCCGGTCCTCTCACCAATTCGGTCGGTCACGGCCCTGGTGGATCTGTCCCTTGGAGTAGTTCGTCCTCGAGATGGTCGATGCCCTTGACGGACAACATCACTCCGAGCACTGTTTCGAGAAGATCTAGGTGTACTTTGAGTGGATATTCTTCGCCTGTTTGATGTGACTTGCCATCCGGACTGTGTAGTTCGGGTAGAGCGTATCCCGCCACTGTCTGCCGTGTCACCAGGGGAAGATTGATTGACCTCTTCGACCGGCATAGCGGCGTTCTCATTGAAGGTAAACTGCGTGGTGCGCGAGTCTCCGCTGCCGCCTTGCATCTTTGCGACGATGAGCTGATTGGTCCTTTGCGTCCTCAATCAATTGCTCAGACGGCCCGGCTACCAGCACGCAGGCACCACTCTCCCGGCGGGAGAAGTGAGCTCTACGGCTGATAACCTGTGAACAAATGAATCCTTGTTCTGGATATCTCTGATTGGTGGTACCTTAGTGCTGGGACAGCCGAACCTAACGAAGCATTGCGAGCATCACGCGGTTGTTTTCCTCTCAGCGGGCGCTTGAGCCACAATGGGCGTCCGTTATGAAGTGCAGTGTTCATATCATACATGCACCTAGCGCCGGGTTCCCTTTGACATATTATAATATAGACATCTCTAAAGTTCTCCTGAAAGAGGAAACAAAAAACACTGCCCATCCCTCGCCTTGTCTTCATTGGTCCATTCGTAGGAAGCTTTTCCGCCTTGCACCTTGGCTCCCGCTCTTTTTCTGGGTACCAGCCGGTGTCAAACATGACTTGCTGAGAAATCCTCTATCAATGGTGTTTATAGCTGGGAAAACCATCTAGAAATTGGTGGATTGTCCTGAGTCCATCGCCTTTTTGAGGGGTCCCATATCACTTATGGGGGAGAAATCACCATGGTTTGGTAGCCATTCAACTGATAACCCCCCACCATCTCCCAGTTCGCGGTTCACCTTCGCCGTGAACCAACAAGAAACCATCAGAATTGTGGGTTTCAAAAAAACTGATGCATTCCTTATTCCTTATTCCTTACATCTACATATCTACATATATGTATATACATACAATATCATAGAATCATAGAATCATTGTGTTTCTCCTTACATTGATGATTGTAACTGATATGTCACAATATCACCAGAAACCTACGTCATTATAAAACCTTACAGCCCCTGGAAATTCATTGGCCCATCCCCAGGAAGGACTAGCAGTTTTCATTGGCTCGTTTCCAGGGCAGCTAACGATCTTGTCCGCCACTTCGAACGTCTTGTGCTTGTGGTTTTGGAGTTGTTTCCTGAAATGACAAAAAGGACATCCACCGAAGTAACGCCACTAGTTCTGTCATGTTCTGGATAAGGATACCGTTCTGAATCATTGAATTACTCACATGAATTTTAAATGTGCACATTGATTAGGCTAAACTTTACTAAACAAACGATGCACTACTGCCAGACCCAGAGAGAACCCAACAGCATCGCTGGGAGGGTGAATGGTTTCAAGATGTTCCAAGTACCACGTTTGACCCACAAAAGTCATCCAAAAACTTGGAAGGCGGAACAAGCCAAATTCAATGGCTGAGCACCATCCAAACCTTTGAAACTTCGCTGTCAATAGGAGGAAGCACACTGAGAACTCACAAAATATTAATTACCTGTTTATGTTGGTGAAAATCCTTGAAAAATCACAAAGTCTTTCAGAGGCCATTCCTTGCTGCAATCTTCTTTGGTCTGCTGTTGTTTTTGTCAGTTGAGCAGTAAATACCCCTGTTCATCCTGTTCATGGCAACATGATTTTTCACGATCCAGGCTTTACCCGCTGAAAATCTTGAGTTGAAAATCGAAAACCAGCTATATGTTCTGAAATGAGTTTTCGCAAGGGAGAAATCAACTTAACTTTGCCCAAAAACAACGATTTACCCTGATTGACCCCATCTTGTCTCTCAATTTCAGTGGAGAAAAATGAGGCATTCAGAAAAATCATCAACTTCTGAGGAGCCATTCACTCCAAGCCCCCACTTGGCAGCCCGGCTTTGTAGCAATCCCTTTGCGACTCTCCGCTTCACGGTTCATGCGCTGAATCAACTCCTGGCTGGAGTGTCATTGGTTCATTGCTTCATCAAATTTCAAGGTTGATAAGTTGATCAGTTGATTCCACTTGGAATTGGATGAACCGTTCTGAACGATCAGTGCAATTTCATGAAATCTCCTTGTTTTCCAACCCTTCCAACCGTTCCAACCATTCCAACCGTTCCAAGCCATCACCGAGCAATAGCCCTTCAGCCCGAGCCGTCGCCGTCAAAAGATGCTCCTGGCGTCGCTCTTTGATGCCATCGTTGACGCCAGCCTGGCGTGTTCATGATCAGTTTCATCCCAAAAAACATCCACCATGGCCACCATGGTTTCTGAGTGGTGCTTAACAGATGTTTAATATGGGGATGGGAAGACTTTTCAAAATGCTCTGGAAATTAAGATGGTGACCATGTCAACCATTTTGGAAATTACAATCCTTGGACGTTTACCACGTTTACCACAATGCCTTCCAGAGAAGGATCTTTGGTCGATGAAAAACAACGCCCCTAAAAACACATTAGTCAGTTGGTTGGGAAAGTCATAGCTCCGAAAAGCTCCCCATTTGAAGGGAATTTCTGAGTAACCAACACGTCCGAAACGCTCCGACAGTTGGATGAAACTCCAGGTGAAGGTTACGACATCCCATAAATGGGGAAACTAGCCATGTCTACCAGCCAGTCCCCAAAAATTCTGACGGTCATAATCCTCATTTGCTGGTTCTATGACTCTAGTGACTCATTTGTGTGGTGCAAACTTTAGGTGGCTGAATCCCATAATTTCTATAATAGTGTCTATATGTTTCACTCCCAACTGGCATGTCAGTCCAACCCTCAACCAGGTGGATCATTTCGAAACCAAACCTGAGAAGTTCAGCTTACAAACCACAAATCACAAGAGCTTAGTCTGACTGATTACTGATCGATTTTCCCCAAGTCCTGGTGACATCTCATCTTTCTCGGGACTTATTTCTTGCCGAGATTTACCAGGTCTACTGGGTTATCACCATCAGTTGCTGGCGAAAATCAACATTTCTGTAGCAGAAATGGTCGCTGATGTCACATCATATCCACTGGGGTTTGAGCTATCATTTACTAGAGGTTGAGCGACCTTCACAGCTCTTGGATATCCCCATGATTTTTTCGGGTTCATGTGTTCTCTTTATGTAACCGCATTTGCAAACCACCGTTATCAAGGCGAATGCATTCCCCTTCGATGAATACCTCAGAAAAACTCACCAGACCATTCATCAATGGGAATTTCAGGATCCTAAAATGGATGTACCTACCATATATAAGGCCTATGAATTCACCAGTACCCAGGATCATCATGCCATCAACACCTCCATCATGCCATCCGCATCCTTGTCTCCGTCCCTCAGCACGGGGATATTTCGGACACCCAACAGACCCAACAGACCCAACAGACCCATAGCCGCCTGTAGCCTCTGGTAAGCAAACATTGCAAACATGACAATATGATGAGAAATAGAGAATCTCTATGTTCCATAGGAAAAGGATGAATGGAATTCAATGGACATGGGCTGGGGCTTTTGTCAAGGTTTCTTATTTTCCAGAGGGTACTGTCAACCAAAGATGAAAATCAACCCCTGATTGGGGTACTGTACTCAGTACGGGGGCCAAGTCGAATAAGTATTTTGGTACCACAGATGATCACGTTGTCGGCACGAAAACAATCAACCAGTGGCTTGACATCCATCGCTTGACGAGCATGGCTGAAAAACCATTGGAGTCAATATGGCTATGAAAGATCTTTCAGTTTATGTACAGTCACCTTTACCAAAAGAAGCCAACTCAGCATTTTGGGGTGTCAGAAACTTGATCTGATGTATTTTCAAGCCCAAAAGTTGCTGATTATTTAGACCAAACGCTGCTGATTGAGCCTTCCAGGAATGCCTAGGATATCAATGTCTTTGGTGTCTTGGGCATTTGGAGGTTTCCTAAAATAGGGAAAATCGGGGTATGTACCCCGAAATCATCCATGTTAGATTGGTCCATTATAAACCATCCAGCGAACTTGGGGGCCCCACGACTAGAAAACCCCACGAATACATATGAATAGCATAGTTATCTAGTTCCCATATAAGGTCATGGCATATAACTATGGTATTCATGGTATTCATATAACTATTAATATATAACTATTCATAAGGTCAGTCATCGCTTTAGTTCCCCATTATCCACCACAAAGCATGGCTCCAATGGCGTCCCTGCTCCAGTGGCGTCTGTGACTGAGGAGCCAGCTCTACAGTCGCCGGGTTCTCATTTCCGGCAACCCTGCAGGAGCCATGGCCATGGAAGATTTGAAAGGTATCTGTGTATATATATATATATATCATATATATATACATATATATACATACACATACATATATATATATATATACATATATATATACACATACATTTATATACAGGTATATACAGGTATAGATATATTTATATATGTATATTATATCCTATATGCAGGGTTTCACATGAGGCTAAACAAGACCAATCAGCCATGGCTGGTGTTTCGATCAAACCATTGGCCAAAGGGACGTAGCTCCAGCGACGACTTTTCGATCTTTTCGGACGTCCTCTGAAACGAAAGGTTAAAATTCAAATGGAAGTGTCCTAAAATGGGGGTACCCCTAGAAAGACATCCATTTATCGATGGAGAAATTCCAAAAAGGAAATAAACCATTCAGCGAGCTTGGGGTACCACCATGACTATGGAACCCCCCAAATGGTTGCTGCTTGAAGTTGAGACTTGGGACTATGCGCTTGGATTCCTGGTCGCCACCACCAGCCCGACTGGGAAACACCCATCCAACATTGATCGCTTGCCGAGGCACTTTCCGAACTTGCCATCGATCCAAGGATGGGACATGACCTGTGACGAGAAATCTGCAAACATGGCATCGCGGCATAGAGCGACCATAGCGACCAGCTCGAAACATCATGGCATCGCTTCATCGAAACGGTCATTGACTTATCCTCTGGGAATCATGTTCATGGTAGAAATCCCTGAGCTCAATGATTTTCCCAAACCTCCATTTTTTTGGTGGATTTCCCACTGCGAGGTTTTTTGTTTGCCGAAGGGTTGGTTCCATGACTTTCAAAAGATTGGCATCTTCAGTTACCTGAAACTGGCTAGATCCGCGACGTCCCAACTTTGCCTCTTTGGAGCTCATTCGGCTCTTCTCACTCTTCTCAAGCATCTTGCGAATGTATTCCTGGCAGCTGGGCAGCTGGTTGCGAATGCATTTTTAAACGCTGAACAATGACGCGATTTCTTTGCTTAATCGTACCCATAGGATCCATGTATGCCATATATGGTAACATGGATACCATCAATATACCCCCTTTATGTTAGCATATATACCATACATGGATCCTATGGGTTAAACAATTGAACAGGCTCGCCTCGCAGACGGGATGCACCCGCTTGGGGATCCGAACTTCTTTGTTCCTGGCCAGCTACATCACTGGGGGTCATGCTTGGTTTGGTAGTTCTGTGTATAAAAATATATGAAGGAATTACCCTCTGGTTATGACTAACAGTTCGCCATGGTATAGAGGGCCCTAATCGAAATAGATGGTTTACCTAGCTATAAAATGGTGGATCTTTCCATGGCTATGTAACAAATAACCAGATGGTAAGTATGGCTAATTTTTGCAATGCATATGTCATGTAGCTACATGTCGACATGTACTTCTGTATGTTCGCTGGAAACAGGAATGGCAGCATGGCACCGTGGCACCACTGGCAACGTTTGGTGACTTTAAGTCACATCTTTTTTGGGCAACAATACCCAAATTGTACGACAACATAGCAGAAAATTCAGTTTGTGCAAATGATGTTGGGTTAACATGTTACTTGCAAACATGTAACTTAGTGAGCTCAGAAAAGAACAACATCTCATGTTTCCATTTGAAGGATTTAAAAAACTGTCTGAAATGAGTTCTGAAATGGCTTCTGCCTTTACAGAACAAAGTGTAGCAATTAGTAATCAGTGGGACCTTCCAAAAATATGGCATTCAATCCTCCAAGAAAAGATTTCTCCGCGCCCAAAGCCACGCTCCTCACATCATTCTCATCTCTAAAGGGGAAACGGCCTGGGTCACAACGAGGACGTCAACAAGAAATCTAAACAAAGGATCGGTTGAAAGATGTTGAACGGTAAAGGTTCCCTTGAAATTGCAAAATTATAGAAGGAAACCATCTTTCAATATGATTCTTTGAATTGTTCTATATCATTGCCTTTATCTATATTTTGTTTGCAGGAAACCAGCTTTTATCCCGGTGTAGAGTGACCTAACGAAGAAACTGAGGATGTACAACGCTCATATACTCAAGACTTTCGGGACAAACAGGCTCTGAACAAGGGTTTCAACCTGATGATAAGCGCAATACCACGCTTGTAGAACTTGCAAACAAGACTTACTGACCCGAGAATTCATTCTCTTTGACAGCCTATCACCTTGACAGTCATACTAATTCTAGGGTACAATAGGCCCAAATGATTGAAGGCTAGTACAATTTTTGTACCAATCTACCAACATTTCAAGTCTTCTTCGTCCGGAAACATGGTGTAACAGTGTGAAATTCCCCGGTTCAGAGCAAGGCATGAAAGAAGGCTGACAAGAAAGAAGACAAGAAGTGAGACAACCAGAGACAACGTAATGAGAAGGTGGACCTGGCAACAACCAAACGGACACCTTTTGGGAAACCAAAAAAGAACTCCAAAACAGCCCATGCTGTGACAGGTATCTTCCCTAAGTAGATAATCATGTAGATATCAAAGTTGGATACCCCAAGGTCCCCCATGGATAGTCGTGGTCACCGCTCTTTTCTGAGACCGCAACCGCTCACCAAGCCGTACATAATGACACCCATCGCCCAGACATCTACCTGGCCCCGGAGCAACTTATCCCGATTGGAGAAGGCGTTGACGAATTGACCACAAACAATGTAGTTTTTTTCAAGAAAATGCTTGATCATGTGGGTCAATGAAATCAGTATATCATCGGATTGTTTCATAATATCAAACTTATAACTTATAAATATATAATATATATATATGATCGTATATGATTGTAAACCAGATAGATATGTATATATATATACACACCTGTATATTATATATATATATATCATGATTCCTACAGTGATCCGGTTGGTCTCACCTCCAGTGACGGACTTTCCCATGATCAAAGCGTGAGTACTGGAAAAAGTTCCCCCGTGGATTAAGCAGAGAATGAGAATATCACTGGGAATATCTGGGGAATATCTGATATTGATGAAATGAATCTTCAGTGGGAATATTTATATATAATATATATATATATTGATGATGTCATAGAAATTCATATATAATATATTCCCACATATTCCCACCGAAGATATATAAAATTCCCATGATCGCCACCCTATGTTTTTCCTCATCGCGAGTTAATGCGCCTTCTGCCCATAGTCACGGTCGAAAAACTCCGGGGACCAAAAAATCTTGGTACCAACCTGGCATTCCATGCGGTCCCAGACTTGGTCCGGAATTGTACCAGTTGTACCACTCATTCAAACAGTGCCCTAGGAAAATATTCCAATTAAACAGGTGGATGACTATCTGCATTACTATGGTAACAATGTGCATTGGGCTGTTTTCTCAGTTTTACAACGTTTTATATCTCAATTCGGGTGGCAGACCCACTGGCAATCGAACTGGCAACCGAACTGATGAAGCAACTCAGTTCCAATTCCAATTCCACGAGTGCAACCCCATCCGGAAATGACCATCACCCGTGTTTTTGCCACTTCATTTTCTATGTGGGGCGATCAAGTTGCTGAAAACAGCCCTTAGTCACCTTTGAACCTTTGAATGATGATGATGAACTTTCCAGCCCACATTTTTGGCGGTGTCATTATTCAATGCGGTGTTCCAAACGAGTGGAAAGAAATCCCTTTGGCATCCAGCATCAATCAACAAGCAAGGGGTAGTCAGACAGTTTTTTGCGTCAAAGTATGGTCAACACCTAAATTGAAATGGGGGTACCCCCAGTTCTCATCCATTTTAGAGACATCCCATGGTGCCATAAACCATCCAGACCCCATTGGATAGTCTTGGATGGTCTCCAGTTCCAATCTCAACCCGTCGCAACGGCTTAAATTCCGTTGCTAACTCATGGCTATGTACCCTATTATCCTTATTTACCCTTATTTCAACTTGTGTAACATGACCATAACATGTATGAAATAAGTGTGTATAATTATACCAACATATGAAATAATTAAGTACCACTATTAACATGTGTGTATAATTTAGAACTTACCAACCGCGACTGGATCCCTGGCTCGCAAATGACGAACTTTTTTTTCGTCCGAGGAGCTCCGGAGGACATGCGATCAGAGGGATTCGCATTGCAGGCCTCGCGGAAAAATTTATCGCAGGGGGAAAAAAAATGGAGGTGTAGTCAGGGCGGGGGTACCTCCAGTTAGTTCTCATATTTCTCATCCATAAAAATAGATGGAGAAAATCCAAAAAGGTGCCATAAACCATCCAATGCTCGCTCACTTGGGGTACCCCCATGACTTCGAAAACTACCCATTTTTGGTGGGATGATGTTTTCTTCGAATCCCGCAGGCCCAACGTTGCGCTTTTGAAGTGTTCAGAAAGAGGGATTGTGGGATCAGACAAGTAAAGTTGACCCAACTCAAGGAACGCCAAAAACAGAAAAAAGGTCACCCCAGCAAAAAAATGGGCATATCACCAGCGGAAAACATGGAGAAATTGGCCAAAGAAATGCATGGTGAACCATCAAAACTGTGACATATGAATGATTTTGACTGCCAATAGGGGCTTCTCCAACCAACTCTTAAGAATTTACAATTGTTTGGCGACTACCAACCTGGTTACCAGCCGCCCAAGAAACTAATACTGCCGTATGTAGGGGACTGGAATACGACTTTCCTCGTGGAACTTCAGAGTGCCTATGTTCGTTTGGGGGACCCGGACGGCCGGACGGATTTCTGAAGAATTCGGATGTGTTTTTGAGCATATGATCATGGTACTGGTACTGTGAGGAAAGGCAATCACAAACCTTCTTAGGGTTGGATTCCTTGTGGTTAAATAATGTTAAATATATAGACATCCCCCAAGTAACATGGACCCTGCCAGATAGGATGCGGGAAGACTACCTTCCTGCAAAGTGGGTGATTCGTTGGGGTCTACGTTTTTGGGGATCTATGTTTTTTTAGGGGGAAGGAACCCTACTATGAACCACCATTTTTTGCTATGTACATCCGCAAAAAGAAAATCTTGGAAAAATAGTTGCAAAGACATGTGCAACTCCCAAACCCATCAAGTTGTGCAAAAAAAAATATGTCAATTCTCCAAGCGACAGTTCCAAAGTCGGTGAGCACAATCTTGCAGTTCTTATCCGTCATGTTCTGACATGGGAGGTCGCTAAAGGCGGATATGAGGATAGTATCACGGATATATCACAATGTTTTTTATACCAAAGATACATGTGCATATATATATATATCATATATATATATCATATATATATATATCATATATATATATATCATATATATATATACATACCAAATATGTTCATTGTATCACTAAATATATCACTGTGGGGGGACTACACAGTGATCCTCACGCTGACAAGATCCCGTAGCTTATCGTAGGTTTTTTTTAAGCCCTCACACCTATTGTCACGTACCAATCATCGGGGATTTCCTGCGGCCATTGGGCCATTTAAAAAAAGAGCATTGCAGGTTACATCACATAAAAGGTTGCCAAAACAGTGTTTCCAGGATGTTAGTTCGATGATATCTGCATCATATTTCCAGGTTTCCCACTGTTCTATCTATGACTTGGGGTTGCTATACACACAAATGCCTGAAGTTTGCGTGCAATCCTGGGCCAAGAATGGCTGATGAATTGAGTAGTTTGAAAATTTCAAGGGACTCGCAGATGGTGCACAGAACCATAGTTGAAATGCAATCCTGATGGGGGTCACCTCTCATACATGTATATTATATATATATATACATTCATATTAGTACCGATGTATAGATACAGATATGAGAGATTAGATTCTTAGATGTTAGAAACTTGCAAGTTGCTTCCCAAACTGAGCTAAGCCTTAGCCTATTTGGGGTTCATGCATCGAATCCTGGGGGGCATCTTGATGAACATCCCATTGGTATTTTCCGCTCATCCAACTGATCCAGGAACGCGACCTTCAATTGATCTTCTCAGCAAAAGAAATAAATTGTTTGTGTCACCAATTGGCATCAAAACTGCCATCAAAACTTGGTTTATAGATGGTTTATAGATGTTTATAGTCATCCAGCCCATTGGAAAAAATAAGCCATGATGCCCAGTGGTGCCATCGCGCATGGGAATTCCCTCCCTTTTTTCCCAGGATTGATGGGAGCGCCGTCCTTACGATCCATCAAATAGTTGTCTCCCTTCACGTCTCTGTGTACCACATTCCTGGAGACGTGAACGGAGACGTGAACGGGGCTGGTACCACCATGATTTTCTTCTTGGAAAAGCACCAAAAATATGTTTCGATTGGTTGGTTTTCTGGAAGATCCAAAAGAAAGACGTGCACTTGATGAGAAAGTTGTGATTTTTGGAGACTCTTTTTTCAGGTGAACCGACTCTTGTTCATCAAGGCTTGCGGCTTGTTCATCAGTCGACGCAAACTGTGTTTTTGTTACGATGTTCTGAATTTCAACTTGAGGAAAATGTCGAAATCGGTCACTCTCCAACTCGCTAAGTCTTGTAACTGATTTTTTAGGGTTACAATAAGCATGATTTGTTTCAAATGTCAGGATAATGTGGTTTGCTCCCCAAGTCTGACTGGTGTTTGTAAGGAAATATGCTGCGCAAAGGACCGATGTAATTTTCTACGGTGGGGAAGAGAGAGCCAATAGAGACAACAGATCCTCGCAAATGGCATCTGAAATGTGCCGATCAAAGTGCGGATGAAGCAACAAATCAGACTAGCACCAACTCAGATACGAACCAATCATCATGGGTATGGGTCAAAATTGGATACCCCAATAATTGGATGGTTCACACTAAAAATAGACTAAGCCATCTGTGGTACCCAGGGTTTTTTGTTTTGACCCATACCCACTGGGAACATCCAATGAAACATGTGAACCTGACATCTGATGAAAACACTCACCTCACCCCACCTCTTCCAGATGCTGTGGCCCAGCCGGGTAATCTCGTGTAGAAATCGAGTTCGCACAGACGACTAGCCCTAGATACCACCAAAAAACGCACAAGTGGATGATCAGAATATGATTCTCATTGGATTAAGCACCACAATGTGACCAAATGACAAAAAATGAAATACAGATGTGTACAACAAAAAACATATATATATATACATATACTATATATGCCATATATATATATACATATGTATCTATATATATATACATATGTATCTATATATATACATATGTATCTATATATATACTATATATATATATACACCATGTATATAAATATACATAATATGATATATATATAGAGTATATATTTTATATCGTAGTTCCAAGCATCCTTGGCTTTCCTGTGGCCCCACTCACGCGCCGTCCCTTGCGCCTATTGTGCAAGTAGTGAATTGAGCTCGCCATCTGATACCTGCAAGATCCAGTGAAAAAACGATTCGTTGGGATTTTAGGTCCGCGGATTCTTCCAGAATATGTATATAGGTATGGTACATATGTATATATATATAGTATATATGTATGTATATATGTATGTATGTATATATATATATATACATAGACATATATGTAAGGGAGTATCCATAACCACAGCTATCTCGTGTGGAGGTGCCTAACATCATCCAGAACTTGCACCAGGTGAAATTCGGACAGCAATGGTGTCCTCAAAATTCTAGGGGACGTCCATGTACCAACAATAATGCTGATAAGAATTAGAGTTCAGCAGATCGTGAAGAATCGGAATGGGTGTAAATACTAGCTCTGTGGTTATGTGGCTGTGATCCTGGAATGGCTCCCAGGCTTTCCTACGTGAAATATCTAGCTTCATGGGCCGGGTTTTCGATTTTGCTGCTTTTTGCCCCAAAAATTGTTTTTTTCGATTAAAAAAACAAAAACTGGTTGTGACTAGCATAAACTAGGATACAGTATGTATATATATATATATGTATATTTTGATTTATTTATTGGATAGTAACTAGTATAACAGCAAAAAAAACCATAGAATAATGGACCAACCATCATTTATCAGTTACATCCACTTTTTCAATGCCCACCTTTTCATGGTGAAAATCCCTGCCAAAACTCAACCAATAGGGATTTTGATTCCACGTGACTCTCCACCCCAGATCCACGCGACGCATCGCGACGCCAGGTGCGCACGCTACGTGCACGACATCATGACAATTGATTTGGCCACGCTCCTGTGCGGAAGAATGTCATGTTGGATACATGTTGATTTCTCTGAAAATGTTGGACCTATGAAAAAATAGGATATACCTGATATGGCCTAAATTTATAGCAATTTCATAAATTGATGTTCTTCACCAGTGGATCAGTGGATGTTTTTGTTCCCCAATTCCAATTCGCAGTGGCTCTTTGTGCGCATCTTTTTCTTGCGGTCGGAAGGAAAAGGGTCTTGCGGCTGATCGCGGCCGATCATTTAGTTCACTTCATAAAGTGGTGAATATATGAAGTGAATACCTTTGATATTATGGGATCAATTATGATACATAAATGATATTATAATACTTATGATACTCAATTATGGGATAATATCATAATGTTTGGTGAATATATCATAATGCTTAGATTACCCAGTTCGGAAGTATGGCAAAAGACTGGTGATTAGACACGATTCCTGGGGTGCACATCCACGCTCCGCAATTTCTGGTGCATTTGTCTTCAAGCCCCACGCGGTTAAAATGGGGGCATCAAGCTTCACACAGGGCATCAAGTGTCCATGATGTTAGTCATGTTTCCTCTCTTGTGCCATTGCTAATTTTTTGCTTATATACTGCATCATCTGGGTCACCAATGGGTTGTTGTTGCTGGGCAGTTTTGCAGGAAAACATGTTTCTTCCCAGCAAGTATGGAAATATAGGTGGATCCTGAAAATCTTCCCCCAATGCTGGGAATGAGAAGTGGCATTATTCATAGCTCCTCCTGATCAGCAAACATGAAAGCATTGCCTCCGGGAATTGTTCTTTGCCCAGGAAACCATAGGAAACCTCCTAGAAATGATGCCAAAACCTGTAGGTCTTCACTTTTTCTCATTTTTCTCCACCCATTTCTTCCATCTGCGGCCAATGCCCAAGCCATTTCTTCCCCGCATGGGGGGCACCTTCAGATGTCGTTGCAAGCCCTCTACCAGGTCACCACCATCCAACTTGTCCATGACGATACACACGAAGCACCTGAACAATTTACAGTCCAGGTGCAACTCATTGGATTCAGAAGAGAAAATGTCAGACGGAAAAACCCAGCAGGGGAAACCCTATAGTAGATTTCTTTAAGCCTATTAATCTGTGGAAAATTACTGTGGAAAAGCCCAGGCTTTCCAAGTCGTCGAAAGTTTCCCACTTTCACCAGTCCAGTGGCTCCAGTGGCATCCTCCCAAGAAGTCGCCGCTTTTGAAAAAAGGGCACCTTTCGTAGTACACACCATGCGACTTGACGATATTGGGATGATCCTTGGTACGGTGCCTAGCTGGCAAACATTGGCAAACATCATCTGGCCAACTAGTAGGTCTTATGGATATGTCATGACAATTCATGTATATAGTTGGATATAGTTGGATATAGTTGGATATAGTTGGATATAGTTGGATGATGTTGAATGATGTTGGATGATGTTGGATGATGTTGGATGATGCGGAATGATGTTGGATGATGTTGGATGATGTTGGATAATTTTTTTAATCAACTTGGAACTGGCTAGCCTTTGGCCTGGTGATTGGATTCTGCTCACCATTCACCATTTGTGGGATGCACATCCTGCTGGTGCTGGCGAGGGGAGAAAATCACTGATGTTTCCCCGTGGCTCAAAAAATCTGTTGTCGCATCTCAATGTTCAAAAAACCAAATGTTGAATTCACACGTCGAAAACGATGGGATTTCTGCAAAGAGTAGACCCTTTTTCAGCGGATGCCTAGGGACACATCGGACACATCCACAAAACACGAAATGTTACTCTCTGGCGATTTCACCTATGGAAGCCATGGCCCATTTACTTTGATGATGAACATGATGATTTGCCTGTTGGAAAATGGTGATTTCCAGTTCGCTACGTCAAATTACCAGAGAGTAAATCCTCAAAATGTCCATCTACTGGGGGGTGCGGGCCCTACTTTGCAAATGGGTGAAACTTCCTAGTTAGATTAATGGAATATTTCTATATATGTAGGATTCGAGTCGGCTTATATATGAATTATAAACCACGGATCCGAAAAACGTGCCGGCGCATCTTTTCACGGGGTTTCAGATTTCTGGATTTCTGGGGCGCCAGGCCATAAGTTGCAGCATCTCAGCTTCCTTCTTGATCGCTTCAACGGGTGTTTCTACCTACACGCGACCATCTTGGCCAGATCTTCGTTGGCCAAATCCCTTTTTGAAAGAAACGTCATAGTCCCAAACGCCTGCAGTCCTGAAAAACCAACCTTGAAGAAAATGAAAACATTCAAGCTTTGTCCGAAACTTTGCTTTGAATATCCTCTTTATGTTAAACTAGTTATATATATATATGTGTACCCAAAAACACCACTCCTTTCTGGGAAATGGAGGTTTTCCAAATCATGGGGGTACCCCCAGTTCCATGTGATTTTCGGATCCGTGATTTTTTCACCATAAATTGGGGTAGCCCCATGACTGAACGCCCCACGGCGCACCTTGTCCACCATCTTGACCTTGGCTGAATCAGGAAGTCACCGTCGGAAAATTTTCTGCGGAAAACAAAAAGGTGAAAAATCGCAGATTTCGGGGATTTTTAGAGACTCTATGCTGAAAGTTGATCCATAGCCATATAAAGCTGCTAACTGCTGCTAGTTGTGCCTTCAACGAGGCTGTTTTTTTAATGTGTCCCACAGAGTGTGTTTCAGTCTGGGGCAGTTTTCCATCCTCCAGCTGAAGTTTTGGAGTTTTTTAATCGCTAATTTGGACGGTATTTGCACCCAAAAGGGGACCTTGATTCTTCTGCAGCGTGCTTGCAGCAGTTTTGAGCTAGAATCAGCTAGAATCTCTACTTTGCACGGGACTATTTGCGCATGATTAAGCCAAACTCTCTCATTTACCCCATTTGCAGATGCTTGGAGCTAGAATCTGCAGTTTGCATAACATTTTGAACCTTGGATCTCTCAGGAAAAATTTGCATGCACAAGATTATTTGCATCATTTAAAATGAAATCTCATATTTTCATCGTGTTTGTAACTGTTGGCGCATAAATTTGCAATCGGTATTTGCTACATGTTGCTAGCACCCCAGCACAAACATTCGCCCAAAGTTTCGGGTTTCGGCACTTGAAGGTTTATTTGGGATTGCTTCAGGATTTGTTTATATAGCGTTTATTTAGGGTTGGTTAAGGATCTATTTAGGTTTTGTTTGGTTTAGGATTTATTGAGGGCTGCTTTAGGATTTCTTTATTTAGGTGTCATTAAGGGTTGGTTTAAGGTTCATTTAGGGGTGGTTCAGGATCTCTAGGTTGGTTTAGGATTTATTCAGGGCTGGTTTAGGTTTTTGTTCAGGGGTTGTTTAGTCAGGGTTGGTTTAGTTGGGGTGTATTTAAGGAGGCTTCGCGGTTTATTCAGGGTTGGTTTAGGGTTTGCTTTCGGTTTAAGCCTGGAGAAAACATGTTGCGACTTTCTTAGGCAAGCGCAAAAATGGACCAAGAGGGTGGGATTGGAGCCTAATAAGAACACAAATATATGTCATTATATGTCATATATATATGTATATATATATAGAAGGTAGATCATGGGGGGGCGTGACCATATATATAATATGTTCTGTTTTTGGCATGTGAGTTTGATCTTGTCTCTCTTGGCATTTTCCCTTTCTATATAATGCTTCGGAGTTGTTTGCACAGTGCTTGCAGCATATTGAATGTTGAATCTCTGATCGGAACAGTAGTTACTTCAGTAGTTGCAGCCTTTTGCCGCAATCCTATTGGTATTTGCAGCACTTCGGGCTAACATTCCTGCTTTTCTTTTCGTTGTTTCATATTGGATCTTGTTTCTCTTAAGATTATTATTTTCCTTTTATTCTTTCAAATTGATGTTTTACGGGTTGTCTGCACAAGAGTTGCAGCATATTGTCAGGAAACCAAAGCCAAAAGGCCACAAAGCCAAAAGCCCACAAAGCCAAAGGCAACAGCCCAGGAGCCAGGAAGCCGAGAAGACAAGAGTCACAAGAGTCACAAGAGTCACAAGAGTCACAAAAACCTGAAGTTTCCGCAATAGCCACAGCCAAGAAGCCAGAGTGGAGAAAAAAAAAACATAAATTATCAATCGGAAAAAACCATCCATCAACAATAACTGCGGGATGCACAGCTTGAGTTTGACAACTGCCATGCCAGTAAGCCACAAGAAAGGCCCGCGCCGACGCCGACGACATGTCCGAACATCAAAAAACACTCTATTTTGTGGGACAAAATGCACATGTCCATGATCATGGCTTTCATCTTGCAACGCACAGCTTAGACAGCTGTGCGTTGAATGTTACTACAACAACAACAACATCATCATCAACAACAACAACAACATCATCATCAACATCATCAACATCGTCATCATCATCATCATCAGCAGCAGCAGCAGCCGCAGCAGCATCAGCATCAGCATCATCACCATCATCATCATCATCATCATCCTCATCATCATCATTTTCACCTTCACCTTCATCATTATATTCCTAATCCCCTTGTTGATCTTCCCAATTGAATGTAAAGTTTAACGGGGGTGGGAATTTATATTCCTAATACCCATGTTGATCTTCCCAATTGAATGTAAAATGTAACGGGGGTGGGAATTTACATTCCGAATCCCCTTGTTGATCTTCCCATTTGAATGTAAAGTTCAACGGGGGTGGGAATGTGTATACAGATTCTTAATCCCCATGTTGATCTTCCCAATTGAATGTAAAATGCAACGGGGGTGGGAATTTATATTCCTAATCCACTTGTTGATCTTCCCAATTGAATGTAAAGTTCAACGGGGGTGGGAATGTGTATACAGATTCTTAATCCCCATGTTGATCTTCCCAGTTGAATGTAAAATGCAACGGGAGTGCGAATTTATATTCCTAATCCACTTGTTGATCTTCCCATTTGAATGTAAAGTTTAACGGGGGTCGGAATTTATATTCCTTCAAAATCCCTAAGAAGTTGTGTGGGCGAACTGGGGGGTTTGCGCGTAATATTACAGGTGTATGGAAAGGTTGTGTTTTTAAATTCTATAAATGGAGGTCCGGATGTTAGCTCTGCTTTTTTGCAAACGTAATGAGATTCCCAACAGAAAGATCTCAGACCTATTCCTTTCTTCTGATCTATGCAGGTCCAAATCATCAAAAAAAATTACTCCCCAACTTTTCTCTCTCTTGGGAAGCCCATAAATCCAGAATCCATGGAAAAACTATCAGATGGATACGCAGCCACCTGGAAGAATTTGAGAAGGTGATCGAGTTTCGATACTTCTTAGATTTTGGCCTTTAGGTTGGAGGTTATACATGCCACTTACTAAATGACCTCAGCATAGGTGATGGTGGGGAATGAATGATCCTGGTACCTTTCGATGTCAAGATTGTCAAGATGGCTTGGCAGTGTTTCCAGGAGGATAGTTTCGATGATATTTAATACATTGCAGGTTACAACCACTAGTATAACCACTATTATAATCACCATTATAACCACCATTATAACCACTATATACCACTATTATAACCACTATTATAACCACTATTATAACCACTATTATAACCACTATTATAACCACTATTATTGGTATTATAACCACCATTATAACCACTATTATAACCACTATTATAACCATTATTAATTGCAGGTCTCCCTTTTCTATCTATGACTTGAGCAAAAAAACAAACCAAAGACTTGGGATCATCTCACTTCAGGTCAACTTCAGCCTGGCACAGGATGGGGACCCCTTCAGATAGCAGCTTTGTTGCGTAAAAAAAGTGGCTGAATTAACTTTGGTTTATGGTAGATATACCTATATACCTATTGTATTCATGGGGCTTATTTCATGGTTTTTTTAAACCAACCTGGGTTGGAAAACCAACAAACATCACTGGGTATATAAACATAACTAGCTTTAAACCAACAAACATAAAACACTACACTACATTAAACTACACTACACTCCACTACACTACATTACACTACAGTACGCTCCACAACACTACAACTACAACTACACAACTACACTCCACTACACTCCACTACACTAAATTACACTACACTACATTACATTACACTACACTACACTCCACTACACTACACTACACTCCACTACACTACACTACATTACACTACCTTCCACTACCCTTCACTACATTACACTACACTACGCTCCACTACACTACAACTACAACTACGACTACACAACTACACTCCACCACACGAAATTACACTACACTACCCTACATTACACTACACTACACTACATTCCACTACACTCCACTACACTACATTACACTACGCTACAATACACTGAATGACACTGCACCACAGATAGACAGGTAGACAGATAGACAGAAAGATAGATAGACAGATGAAAGAGAGAGAGAGAGAGATAGATAGATAGATAGATAGGTAGATAGGTAGATAGGTCGATAGGTAGATAGGTCGATAGGTAGATAGGTAGATAGGTAATTAGATGAAAGAGAGAAAGAGAGAGATAGATAGCTAGCTAGATAGATAGATAGATACATAGAAGATAGATAGGTAGGTAGATAGTCAGAGAAAGAGAGAGACAGAGAGGAGACCTCAAGCACCTTTCGGTCCATCAGTGGATCCGCTTTGCCATCCCTGATTCACAACAACCAACCTCTCCTATAGGTTTCCTATTTTTGAAACTTCCGCCACCGCCTTGTGCGGTACTACTGGTAACCACTATTATAACCACTATTAATTGCAGGTCTCCCTTTTCTATCTATGACTTGAGGAAAAAAAACAAACCAAAGACTTGGGATCATCTCACTTCAGGTCAACTTCAGCCTGGCGGATGGGGCCCCCATCAGATAGCAGCTCAGTTGCCTAAAAAAAGTGGCTGAATTAACTCTGGTTTATGGTAGATATAGCTATTGTATTCATGGGGCTTATTTCATGGTTTTTTTTTTACCAACCTGGGTAGAAACTGTATAAACCAACAAACATAACTGGGTATATACCCTAAACATAACTAGCTTTAAACCAAGAAACATAACTGGGGGAACCCATCCTGTAAGTCACCATGCAGTGGGCTTCCCATGACACCTACAAGGGGTCTGTTGAGTCTGTCGGCCGCGAACTCCTCGCCGGTGGCTCGTCGCTTGCAAACCTCGGTGGCTCGTTTGCACCAGAATTTACCCTCTGGTAATGGCTGACGTAGCTATTGAAAATGACCATTTAGTTCGTGGATTTTCCCATGAAAAATGGTGATTTTCCATAGCTATGTTAAATTACCAGAGGGTATTGTGTCTGAAAATGGGAAAAAGAAAAAGAAAAAAATACTCGAAAATGATGATCATGCGGATCTCGGGGTGAGAATTAGTGAGAGATGCTTCAAGCAATAGGAGTACTCGGAACAAAATTGGGGATTGTTTGTTTGTCCATGAAAAGGTTGACAGAGAGCAAACAGAGAATACTCGAATGTGCATGGAAACCTATTGAATTGGGATACAAGAATTGAAGGGGTATGCGAAAAGCCGGAATACCACCAAGTAATCTACAGTTTGCAAAAAATTGCTGATATATCCCATTATGTCCCCATTGTACCTTCTGGTTTTTGAACGTAGCAAACTGGAAAGATCACCATTTTGAACAGGTAGATCATGACAAACCCACGAGCCAAATGGGCCATGGCTTCCATAGCTATGAAGGATAATTAATAGAATAAAAAATGGTATAAACCTACGAACAACAAAAATCATCGAATAAACCACCTATCAACTCATCAACTCGTGCAGGATTCCATGTGCCAAAAAAAATCCACAGTTGGCCCCATCGATGCACTGAGCCTCTTGCAGAGACCACCCCAAAGGCACCTTCACCCAGAGTCAAGCCAACCTGGGCGTTACCATCGACGAAGATTTCACCCAAAATCATTAAATCGTGGCCCGAAAAGAATCATAACACCGAGCATTGTTTTGACTACCATCCGGGATATTTATATATATATATATGTAATATATATATATACACACGTATATACGTATATACCGTATATATAAGTGACATATTCTCGTCAAAAAAAAAGGTTGACCAACCGAAAATCGGAGATGTCATCATAAAAATCAGAGAAGAAAATTGTTTAGATTGAACCGGATTTTAAGTCTCCGAAAAAAGACGTATCTATGTACATAATTGTACATACAACTTGCTCTAAGCATCTATAGATCCATTTTTAGGGCAAAGTTGCAATCTAAGGCACCTTGGACGGACAAAAAATAAACCGCGGATTTACCTTCTGGCAGCAATTCTGCGATGACCCACCTTGAGCTAGAATTCATCTGCAGAGTTTATCAATACACCCAGAGTTTCTATAGTTTAAAACTCAGATGGTTACCAAAAAAAACCATGGTTTGTATTATGTATAGTATGGTTTTGTCATGTTTTGTCTGAAAATAGGCTATGCCAAAACCTCATCGTTGGTTATAGTGGGAAGTTTCCATGGGATCCCCTGCAGAGTATTCATCTAGAAGTCGCAGCTCTTGGTTGGCCTTGTCACCAACCTGACCGGAGGAAGCACTGCAAGGAAGCACTGCGACTGCCGTGAAATGTCTTGTTGAACATTGTTGAAGCATCATTTCCAATGCTTTCTTTGAGGCAATACTCAATCTCCGCCAGGTTTTATGTGACACTTTACAACTTCAGGGCAAAGCTCAATCCTTACCAAAGCTGCAAAGAAATGTGGTTCCGAATCGAAGTGAAGCAAGTGAACCCAGCCCAGCATGTGGTTTCAAGGCAAAGAAAACAACATGAATAGCATCAAGATCGGTAAAATGTGTTCAAATGTGAAAGACAAAAAGAGATCCATGGGGAAGCCTGGCTTGTTTCGATGGGCAAAACAGTTCTGCATCAAAACCCCCGGCTGAAGAACATCAAATCGCTGACTAGGTCTTGGTCCATCCCGGCCGAAAAAAAGAAATTGTGTCAATGAAAAATATAAAGTTTAGGGTTTTAAGTGCTTTATTGGAGGAGGCAAATGTGTGTTGCTTTCGAGCAGCTGAGTTTGACTATCATCTGATCCATTCTAGCTTCCAAATTCAACTTAGGAACAACTCCTAGAAGTCAACCAAGGGCAAGCTCTGTCAATCTCAGAATTCATCGATTCCATCTTTTCCTCAAAGGAAGAAAAAGATGAAAGTCAAAAGATGCCGATTCATCAACCATGTCCTCAGGTAAGCGGTCGTGATCAACAATCCGAACAATCAAAAAGCAACTAACAAATGGCTGTATCCAAACAAAAAGATATCAAAAAAAGATTGCAATGGTTTTTTTCAGCCTCCTTTTCCCCACAGTTTTTACCCATTCCAAGGGCGAAAAGAGAGCAGCACCTGACTCCCTGCAGGCGCCGCTCCATTTGGAGCAGACCTCGGAGCCATATTCGGCCGGGAGCTATGGATACCCTTAATAAATGCTATTTATCACCAAAAGGATGGTGGAAAGCCTATAAAAAGGTTTATAAACCCCATGAATCATAGTGACATTGGAGTTATAACTAAGTTATAACCCTATAGATTTGGGGATGTTTACCACCGTTTTCAACTGGTTTTCTTCGGATTTCGCTGGCCCATCCACTGTAGGTATTGATGAAATCCATTGGATATACTTGGAGGTTTATTTCCAGATAAGTGGCTAGTAACTTAGTAACTGGGGTTAGTTCAGCCACTTATAAATCGGATAACCCCAGTAGTTTAAGAGAATTCTGGGATAGTTGGATAGTTGACCCAATAATCCTATTCAAAAATGGGAGAATTTTAGATATCAGATTT